AGCTATGAAAAACATGGAGAAAACTTAAATACATATTGCTAAATGTGAGAATTGTCTTAAGCTGAAAAAGATACTTACTATTTGAATCCAATTATATGACATTTTGGAAAAGGAAAAACTATGAAGATGATAAATATATCATTGGTTTCCAGGGTCCTGAGAGAGGAGGAGAGAGATGAACAGGTAAAGCACTGAGGATTTTTAGGTTGGTGGAATTGTCTGTTTGATACTGCAATGGTGGATACATGACATCATGTATTTGTCAAAAGCCATTGAACTTTATAATATAAAAAGTGAACCCTAATGTAAACTATGGACATCAATGAATAATAACATACCAATATTGGTCCATCAGTTGTAACAAATGTACCACATTAATGCAAGATATTAATACTAGGATATACCTTAAGTGGAACAAAGGGAAGACAAGGGTTAGGGGACTCTTGTACTTTCTGCATATTTTTTCCATAAACTTAAAGCTTTTCTAAAAAGTAAAGTCTATTTTTAAATGCCTTTTTTACTGTCTTGTTTGTTTTGATGATTAGTTTCACTTATAGGTGAGATCATACAGTATTTGTCTTTCACCGCCTGGCTTATTTCACTTAGCATAATGTTCTCGAGATCTATCCATGCTGTTGTGAAGAGTAGGGGCTCCTTCTTTCTTCCTGCTGTGCAGTATTCCATTGTGTAAATGTACCACAGTTTTTTGAACCACTCATCTACTGAAGGGCATTTAGGTTGCCTCCAATACTTGGCTATTGTAAATTGTGCTGCTATGAACACTGGGATGTATAGGTTCTTTTGAATTGGTGTTTCAGGATTCTTAGGGAATAATCGCAGCAGTGGAATTGCCAGATCAAAAGGCAGTTCCATTTTTAGTTTTCTGAGGCAAGTAAAAATATAACCAGAGACATTGAAATAAAGAAAAAACTGACAGTAATGAAAGGAGATGGAAGAGAGAGATAAAAGGGGAAAAAGGGGGAAGGATCATCAAGGAACATATATAAAGGACACATGGACAAAGTGTAAGGTGGAGAGGATCAAGACTGGGAGGGTGCGATGGGTAGAGCAGGGGGAGTGGTGAGGGGAAAATGGAGACAACTGTACTTGAAATACAATAAAAATAAATAAATAAAATATAAATAAATAGATCAAGATAGCGGAGGAGTGAGTGGAAGTCACAGTGACCTCCCCCCAGGACCAACCTGGAATTACAACTAAATTGTGGAGAAATCACCTGGAACAAACAACTGAACAATAGCGAGAGAGGAGCCTTGTAACCTCAGAGACAGAAGAATCGGCTTTAGCACAACCTAACTGGTAAGGAGTGTAGTACAGACTAAGGAAGGCAAACGGGGCCCCCACAGGTGGCAGCACCAGAAGGATATTGAAATGACCATTTGGAGTCCCCTGAGAAGAGCGGGGTCTAAACCAAAGGCAGGGATCTCTAGCCCACAGCACCAGAGCCCAAAAAGTATTCAGAAAACAGCCAGCTGCAAAAAGCGGCAGGGTTGCTCTCTGCCACAGGCAGGAGGCTGGAGACACAAAGAACAGTTTAAAGGGCCAACACAAAAATTTTTATTGCAGCCACTTACCCTGGTCTCCAGCAAAGACAGGGGCAGAGTGGGCTAGAGATGCTTGAGGAGAGACTGGGGAAGGAGGCTCTGGGGAGAGAACTGAGAGTAGCCGGCGGGATCTCAGTGCTGATTCATCCCCCATGTGGCAGCAGCCATCTTGCTCAGGCAGAGACCACTCCCAGTGAGTGGCAGCAGCATCAGAGGACCCAATAGCCCCACCCCCAGGTTGGATTCCACCCTGCCCTGTGCTGTCTAAGCTGCCTGCTGAGTGCAGCGTTGCAGCAACAGACAGTAGATCTCTGGCCAAAGGGGGCACAGAGACGTCTGGAGACACTCAAGGAGAGACTGAGGATGGAGGCTTTGGGGAGAGAACAGAGAGAGAAGCCAGTGGGATCCCAGTGCTGACTCCTACCCCATATGGCAGCAGCATGAGAGAACCCAATAACCCTGCTTCCAGGAGGGATTCTGCCCCACCCTGAGCTATCTAAGGTGACCTACTGAGTGCAGAGTGACTAGATTAACAGCTGAAGGAGACAGCCACAGACAGTAGATTCCTGAAAGTCTCAAACAGACTGCCTAAGGTCAGACAGGAATGCATCTGACATCATCAGAGGCAGATCCAGAAAGTAAAAAAGTGGTCTCCTACCATAGAAGTTCACACCACAAAGTCAGGAAGTCAAGACAGATCAATTTAAGAAGCAGAAGCAAAAAAGAAGAGTCTCACAAATAATGGGAAGACAAAGAAGTACCCCCCACTTGAAGGGAAAAGAGGAATCTCCACAGAGAACTAAATGAAATAGAGGCAAGTAAACTATCAAATATTGAGTTCCAAACAATGATTCTAAGGAAGCTCAATGAGCTCTGTGAGCTCAGAGAGAATTACCAAAAAATAAAGGGAAACTACGAGGAACTTATGGAAAACTACATCAGCATGAAAAAAGACATAGAAACTATCAATAAGAAACAAGAGGAAATGAAGAATCCAATTTCTGAACTGAAGAACACAGTAGAAGGAATCAAAAGCAAGGCTAGATGAAGCCGAGGATCAAATCATCGAGCTGGAGGATAAGGTAGATAAAAGCTCCCAGAAAGAGCGAGAAAATGACAAAAGACTCAAAAAGAATGGAGAGGCATTGAGGGAAATGCAGGACAACCTGGAATGTAATAATATCCGCATAACAGGGATACCAGAAGGAGAAGAGGAAGGGATAGAGAACCGGATTGAAAAAGTCATGATGGAAAACTTCCTTAATTGGAGGAGAGAAAAAGTCACACAAGTCCAGGAAGCACAGAGGGTCCCATTCAAGAGGAACTCAATGAGGCCCACTCCAAGACACATCATCATTAAAATGGCAAATATCAAAGACAAACAGAGAATCCTCAAGACAGCAAGAGAGAAAGAGGTAGTAACGTAGAAGGGATCCCTAATATTGCTAGCAGTTGACTTCTCAGTGGAAACACTGCAAGCCAGAAGGGAATGACAAGAAATATTCCAAGTCATGAAAAGCAAAGACCTGCAACCAAAACTGCTCTCTACAGACAAGGCTCTCAATGAAAATGGAAGGTGAAAATGGAAGGAGTTTCCCAGACAAAAGAAGGCTAAAAGAATACACCTCCAGCAAACCAGCACTGCAAAATATGCTGAAGAGACTGCTTAAAGATGAAGAAAAAGAGTCTAAGAATACCCCGTTCCTTTCACAGTTGCCAATACTTGATATTACCAATATTTTTAATACATATTAATCTGATTGTGACAATGATGTGTTATTTTAATTGTTCCTTTATTATCTGTTGAAACTAAACCTGTTTTTGTATATTGCTTGCTTGTTTCTATTATTTTTAAAAAGCTTCAAATGACTTTTTGGTATTCTTTATTCAATTTTTGATTAAATGCTTATAGAATATTTTCCCTAAAAAAAAAAGCATTAACCCTTTTTAGATGTGTTGTACTTTCCTATTCTATTATTTGTCCTTTAACTTTTTATATGTATATTACTGTACAGTCTTAAGTGTTTAATATAGTTATATTGTCAGTATATTTTTTTATAGCTTCTAGGTTTGAATATTTTACTTCATAGTAAGAAAAATAGTAGTTTGTATTTTCTCCTAAAACTCCTTATATTCTACACATTGATTTTTAACTCACCTGAATATTTCTTGTATAATGTGTGAAATTGGGCTCTATATTTGTTTTATTTCAAGTAATAGTGGTCCATGCACCTTATTTGTTGAATAAGCCTTATTTCACCCACTGATTTGAAATACCAACTTAATCATATATTACATTGTTAGACAGATATATACACTTGTCTCTAGAATGCTCATTATATTTCATTGATCTACTTGATTATTTCTGTGCTGGTATCATGTTTTAATTGCTGTGACTTTATAATGGTTTTAAATTTTTTAATATTTTATAATTGATTTTGACATTAAAAAATAATAAAATCAATCTGCATTTATGAAAGAGAAAAAAAGAAAAAAGAGAAAGAAGAAAGAAAGAAAGAAAGAAAGAAAGAAAGAAAGAAAGAAAGAAAGAAAGAAAGAAAGAAAGAAAGAAAGGAAGGGAAAGGAAGGAAGGAAGGAAGGAAGGAAGGAAGGAAGGGAGGGAGGGAGGGAGGGAGGGAGGGAAGGAAGGAAGGAAGGAAGGAGGGAGGGAGGGAAGGAAGGAAGGAAGGAAGGAAGGAAGGAAGGAAGAGAGAGAAATAGAACTCCTACCTTTTGTGACAACATGGATGGAACTGGAGAATATTAAGCTAAGTGAAATAAGCCAGTTGATGAAAGACAAATACAATATGATCTCACTTGTAAGTGGGCTCTATTCAACAGAATAAACTAACGAACAAAATAAACCACAGGCATGGAAACACGGAGCAGACTGAAAGTGACCAGAGGGGATGGGGAAAGAGGACAATGGTGGAAAGCGGGGAAGGGACTAGACAAAGAACATGTATGAATGACCCATAGACATGGACAACAGAGTGGGAATTGACTGTGGGAGTGTGTGTGTGGGGGGTGGGATGGGTGGAGGTGGTAAAGGGGAAAAATTGAGTCAACTGTAAAAGAATAAACATGATTTATAAATTAAAAATAAAAAATAAAACAATAAATAAATAAAATGTTTTATATAATAAAAATGCCTTTTTTAAACATGGTAAGATACCGATTTACTGTTTTTATTTTTTATTCCATACTTGTCTGAGTTTTAGTGTATTCTCTATTGTACATCTATATATTTTATAATTAAAAATGGAGCTATGTAAAAGAAAAATCTGGGCCTATTGTATCTTCAATTTTCTAAACACTTTGCTTTAATATTATAAACCATAGATACAGAAAATTACTATTTACTAGTTATTCTTGTAAGTTTGTTGAAAGATAAAGTAAGGCACACTAAAATTTTCAAGAGTTTATTTTAGAAAAAAATTGATTTAAATCTGGTAGCATCAAACTGAAAGTGGTTAAGAATGCTTTGCCAACAGGAGCTGGGGGAAAGTCTTTTATAGAAAAGAGAAAGGAGCAAAGCAAGGAAATGATTTGATTAGCCATGGCATAAGTGGCTGCCTTACTTGGGAAAGCTTAGTTGGCTGTTTGTGAGTGATTGTTCTTAAATTTCATCTTCTGTGATACAAGTGCATTTATAGGACTTGATTCTGACTTAGGTTTGGGTTTGCTAATGTAGGCTACCAAGATATAAGAACCGTCTCTATTATTACTTTAATAAATTTCTCCTTTTGGTAAGATACCAATGGGAAAAGGGGGTCAAATATATGGTGACAGAAGATGATTTGACTCTGAGTGGTGGGCATACAAGGCAATATACAAATCATGTATCATGGAAATGTACATTTGAAACCTATATAATCTTATTGTCCAATTCACCCCAATAAATTTAATTTTAAAAGATAACAATAGATACTTAGATAGTAAATGATAGAATCAAGATGCAGCCCAAGTCTAACTCATTTCAGAAACCCTTTCATGCCAGTCTACCACGTTGTTATGAATTATCAGTATTCATGATTTGGGGTAGGTTCTGATAACCATTTTAGAAGTAAATATCAAGTAATAGTTTCACAAATAAATGAACAGTTTATCTGTGTCACTGTGTCTTAAACATTCTTTTCTCCTGTTTAATATCATATTCCCCCAACACTTTACCTAGTTTTTCCACTCACGATCACATCTACAAATATAAGACAGTTCCAAGAATAAGTCAGGCCATTCTCCTGGGAATGATACAGGGATCCATGTCTATCTAAATAAAATCCTCAATGTCTAATCTCATTCCTTATCAAGTCTGGAATGGGTGATGCCGATATGTAAATTCTGTAATGTATGTGGATCCTCCTCTTTTCTGTGCTCCACTCTACCTCATCTCCCCACCACCTGTCTCATATTATCAGAGGCCAAACCTTAGGCTTTCAGATTCATTCTACTGAAGATCCAGATATTTTACTGACTTGGGGGCTCAAGAACAAAAACCAAACTCTGAACTGGTTGCTTGTAGAAACCTCTCAATAAATCTCACTCTAGAGATGTCCACGTGAGACCTGGCACACAGCCACTGGATGGCTTACAGATCCTCTGAGGGAGGCCACACTCTAATGAACCTGGATATTTTTTATTAATTACAGAGGATGAAAGGTTTACATATTCCCCAGCTGTTGTGAAGTACACAAAAAACCACCTAAGATCCATCCAATGGTTTACTGTATTCAGAAAAATCACAATCACTGTTTGAAGAAACCCCAAGCAATAAATTCCCATAGAACTTCTGAAAGTTACCGTAGCAAAGAATGGATCTTATGGGGCCTATCGAAGAGGTGTTGCATGCTAATAGCAAAAAGATAATGAACAGGGACACCCAAATAGGTGATAGAATATGGAGAGGTTGAAAAGGCATCACCACTCCTAGCATGACTAGGCAGCTGGAAAGTGCTGAAGAATGGTGTCTTCACAGAGGTGAACAATTGGAGAATTGCCAGGTTTGTAAAGATATTAAAGCAGACATCTCTTCATTGATCTTCTCTCTAAGGAAGCCCATTACCTGTAGAAGGACACACACAGTTTCTAAAGAGCTTAAGATGAATATTTGAGTACTTACCTTCAGATTCCTTCCCCTTTTCCATTAATCCTTTGACTTAGGAGAAGTCTTAATATTCATCTGACATCTCATAAATACAAACTTTTCAACATGAACTGCTATATTCTACCATCATAGTGAGCGTGAATGAACAGAGCATGGTTTACCTTCTATTAGCACCCCTGACACCACTTTTCAGATCGGAGGAGCAAAAACAGGTATTGGGATTCATACAATGAATCTTCACTGACCCTCAGAGAGACAAGCTCTGGAGATGCTTTGACCCAACTGATGGCCTGCCTCGGAAACTATAACCTAAGAATCCTCCAAATCTTGAAGCTAACTTTCCTAGGTCACTGGACCCAGTATTCTAATGTGAAACAGTTGTCTTAGGTATAGGAGACAATTTCCAAGACTGAAGGTCTGGGCGCACATGAATGGGAAGGGATGGCGAACTTTGAAACCCTGGCATACTAGAAAGGGCCTATGTCTGATTCTCTCCCAGCAAAGGTGAGTCAAGAGCCATGACTTTCCCTGTTTTTCCCCTTAAAGGCATCCAATGTTCTTTCCCCCACTGTGTTTCCTTCCCTTGATAACTCCATACATGTGTTCCTCTGACCACACTAAACCCACCTGCAAGTGCCTCACAGTGGACCTTGGCGTTCAGCAGCATTGCCTTTGCGCACGCCCTTGATGATGAAGATGGTCCCAACAATGATGCCCACCAGACCCACAACCAGGCCCAGGCCACACACCACATTTTCTGTTGTCTCTGGGAGGGGAGTTCGCGCTTCAAACTCTGGGGAAATATAAAACAATGTAATGAATGGTGTACTAAGTCAAACAATTATTAGTCAGTTAAAGAAGACGAAAATAGGATAATGTATTAAGGGAATTACAACTTAGAAGGAAAGGAAAGCTGGATAATGGGAGAAGACAAGAATAAGAATTGCAACAACTATTACAAAACAAAGGACTCTGTGCTGTGTCCCAAAGGACCAGACACATGCATCACAGGCGGAAACCAGAAAATAAGGAAATTGAAGGATGCTCCATACCCCAGTGCTTGAGGAGAGGTTCATCCAAACCCCAGTGCTCCACCTTGCAGTCATAGACGTCCTCAGTTGAGGGCAGGAAGGGGAGATAGTAAAACTTGCGGAAAAGGTGGTCCTCCCTGGGCAGGAAGACTGTCTCTGACACTCCGGTTGTGACAGGTTTTCCATTTTGAAGCCACGTGACATTGACTACTGGTGGGGAGAACTTGTCGATGAAACAGATGAGGACATTGGGTTCTCCCAGTTCCACAGGGTTGTTTGGGAACACAGTCACTTCCGGGGGTTCTGGGGGACACATGATAGAAATTAGCCTTCTATGCTTAGGCTTGGCCCCTCCCTCTCTCCCACTAAAGCTGAAACAGAAGTTGATATTATGTCTTGAGAATCTACACCACAGTCTTAGGTCCTTATCTCTGGTACCCTCACTCATAAACTGCAACCAACATTGAGGTATGGGATATCCAAGGACCTCATTCCTGGCTCCCCCTACATAGATTGAGAGTCATAACTTTGTAAATAACTATGGATGGCAGAGAAAAGATATGAGAACATCAAGAAATGAAAAAAAAATAACAAAGTTTTTGGGCCTGCAGCATGAGAATCTAGAGGACTTACTTATGGCAAAGTTAGGCCCTTGGAAGGGAAAGTTATTCTCAATGACATAACAAAAAGAGCTAAAGCATCTATTTTAAAGCTCTGATTCCCACATCTAGGAGTGCAGCAGGGACAGGTACCATTAGTGTTTGGGGTGTGGTTGGAGCGCTTTATCATGATGTCCAGGTTGGCTTTCTCCACAGCTATATTAGCCAATGCACCTTGAGCCTCAAAGCTGGCAAAATCACCGAACTCTTTAAGCCGCCAGACCGTCTCCCTCTTTTCCATATCCACATGGAAAATCTCATCACCATCAAAGTCGAACATAAATTCGCCTGATGGGTGTGGAGTCATATAGAACTCGGCCTGGATGATCACATGATCCTCTAGAAAGGTAAAAAAGAGAGTTAGGGTTGGAACAAGCAGAGAGAGATGAAGAATCAGGATCATACACAAATTGTGGGTGGCAGTTGAAAGAGGTAGGCTCAGTGGAACAAAGAGCAGTGATGGAGAGTAGGGGTGACTGGAAAGATAAGGCCTGTGTGCAGTATGTTTGCGCCAAACAGAGATTGGAGGGGAGAAATTAGGGGCAGTGTTAGAGATGGTGGGTTGAAGGAAATGGGGGCTGAAAACCCAGAGTCTCCTGAAGCTGTGGTTTGTCTCCATGTTACTAGCTGAGGAATGATTCCCACTTTAGAAATCCAGTAGCAGCTCCTAATAGGTTGGGTTCTGAACTTTGAAATCAAAGCGAATTTTGAATTCTTATTTAGCAACTTACTTACCTAGTGAATTGACCAGATTACTTCACCTACTTATATGTAGTTTTTCTGTTATTTTCTTCTGTGGTTTTGCTTCTTCCATGGATTTATTTTTAAGATTAAATTAGATAAGGTAAGTAATTTCTTAGTATATCAACAGGCCTATAAAAAGCCCTTTAGGGTCAAAAATTATTTATTTATTTATTTATTTATTATTTTAATGTTTTACAGTTGTTCCAATTATTTCCCCCTTTGCCTTCCCTCTACCCAGCCCTTCTCCCACTTCCATAATCAGTCCCCACCCCCATTGTCCGTGTCCATGGTCCATCCTTCATATATGTTTCTTGACTAATCCCTTCACTTTCTTTCAAATAGTCCCCCGACTCCTCCCTTCTTAACACTGTCAGTCTGTTCTGTGATTCTATGCCTCTAGTTCTATTTTGCCTCATTAGTTTATTTTCTTCATTAGATTATGTAGTATTATATAGTATGAGATTATATAGTATTTCATGCTAAGTGAAACAAGCCAATCAGTGAAAGACAAATACCAGAAACTGCTTTGTATTTATGGAGTAGACCCATGGAAAATATAACTGGGGCCTGAGGTACCCAGCAAATTAAGATTGAGACCTTGCAGTGTTGTAGAGCACCCACTTTCCTGGATCTGTACCCACCCTGTGGATACCTCTTGGCAATGAGCCCTTATATCATAAAGCTCCTTACATTAAGACAGTCATTATAGAGTCTATTCTATTAGGATTGATACTGAGGATAATCTATACCAAGGGAATAATCAATTTGAAATAAGAAAATTGCAGTTGGAGAGTATGCAGCCTCTGTGGTATAAAGGAGAGGGGGATTTGAAAGTCTGACTGTACATTGACGAAGCCAGGGATTTATTTAGCACTTGCAGCTATGTGTGCACATGCAAGTACACACGCCCACAAATATTTAATTGCCCCTTTCCAAGCCAAAGGAAGAGCCTCTCTCCTTCCAGGTATTCATGTGCATGTATGGCCCTTTCTGAGAAATATAAAATGTGCAATTGCCATCATGCATCTTGGAGTTGTGTTATTGCTTCACTTATTTCCAGTCTACCTGTCACCCTCTGTGGTGGTCACTTTGAGTGAAAGATATTTTTTCACAACACATCTTCATTACAGCACAATATTTGCTCTAGAGATGGCAGAGAACATCAGACTCTTTACTTCCTTACTCACATTTCTACTCTCTTGGAAAAATCATTAAGTAATAGTGACTGAAGATCCAATATATAGGGCTTATCACTGTTCCAAGGGGCAGTAAATTAAATGCAAGTTCTATCAGCATACCTATCCTTTCCCATCCTTTGGGTAGATTATTGTTTATTTATTTATTTATTTATTTATTATTAATTTATCTTGGTGACTTTCCTTTCTAGCGTTCTCCAAAATAAATATCATTGTTCAAAATATTCTGACAGGATTCACATGCCAAAGAATAGCTACCATGTATTCAGCTTAGAATGTCTCATATTTTTCTCATTTAATCCTCACGAAATTTTATGAATTTTTAAAATTTTATTAATTATCTAGAAAAAAAATAAATGAAAGCCCATGAAGGCAGCTTGTTAATGCTTGTTAGGAAATATTTCTCCCTTAAGTCTGGCTTATCTCAAAGTCAATGTCATTGACCAATATAAAACTCAGTTTTGCTCCTCTAAAGTAACTTTAACTTACTTTAAACTGTGGTGAGAACAGAAGTCTTCAATCTACTATTTATTATACTTTTAGATTTCAGTAGTCCACTGAATACTGATCAAACTGTTCCTTCACTCCATATATTGTCCCTCAAATGTCCACTGTTCATTCCTCTAATGCTCTCAGAGCTTATTGTCCCTAGTTATGATTCTCTCAGCACTTACCTTTGATAGCCCACAATTCCTGAAGGTTCACCAGGAGAACTGTGATGAAAAATCCTAACATTGGAACTCCAGTCATGACCATTTTCTTGAGCGCTTTAATGGGGATCTGTAGAGCTCCAGTGGGGTAGAATAGACTAGAATAAAAGAAAAGAAAATGTAGGGTGTGATGGTGCCTGATTGATTAAAATTCAAATCAGTTGAGCTACAGCCAATCAGCAAAGTGTCTTCAGATGACACCTTTGTTGCTAAGGAAAAGACTCTTGTAAGGGGCCTAAGAAAGGAGATAGATAAAAATGTAAAGTTCTTAATCAAACAAGCACAGCACAAACAACAAAAAAGGAGTTTTTGAGAATGTTAGGCAATCACTCAACTCTTCCATCTCAATCCAAGTTTTAGAAAGGGATATACCTGGAGCACATTAGTGAGAGTATAATCAGTGGAACAACCTAAAGTGAGAGCTGATAACAGATCATGCCTCTGTGCTATGACAGCTGGAGAGTTTCTTCCAAGGGACAACAAATCCTCTAAAAAAAAAAAGGTAAATTACCAGGCTGTAGAAAATACTTGAATCTTGGCAATACTGGGTGACAGAGCTTCATTTCAGGAGCTTCCCATTGCTTTGGGCTTCTCCTCCAGTGTCCTGGACTCCAAGATGGCCAACTGAGTCCAAGAGGACCCCAGGCACTGTACTATCCTTAGGGAACACTGAAGGGGAAACTCTGAGTGTCAACACTCCACAAAGTGAAGAGGCATGGAAAGCTACTCCTTTGGAAATGGGTAGTGGTTACCAGAGACAATGAACTGTTAAGGGGATACCTTTTACTAATGTCTACCATCTTAAATATGATCAGAGATTGGAGTAGACTTTTGGGGACACACCTTATTTGAGAGCTTGAGCTGATGAATAGGCTGAAGTAAATTGGCCAGAGCTATTTTACTAGGAATGCTAGAGGCTGACCTGCAGGAGGGCTTTACTCTTACTTCAGCATGTCATAGGATTATGGAAATTCCAATACAAAGAATTAATTTTGATGTTTACTATTGAGAATCCTGAAAGTTAAGACCTTATGATCCTCATATTTTAAAAAACATAGTGCAATATAAAGGAAAATTAAACCACATATAGAAAGGTATGGAATTCAAATACTTTCAATGGAGAAAGCATAGCAATGAGGCAGCCCATCAGATGACGAGTTCACTTTTAATATCAGTTATAATCCATACACTCAGGGTGGATTTCCCACACTGTTGTGCTGAGGTCTTATCCTGCCCTTTAACCGCGTTCAGAAATCATGAGGGCAAACGCCCTGTGCATTACTGGTTATCTGATGACATCTGGGCTTTGAACATTCTCTGACACTGCCTTCTAGGTCACTTGGAGGAGTCCCACAGCACAGTTCTGTTCTATAATCATTAAGGAATACATTTCCTGGAGGCCTGGGAATGGGCCAGAGGAAAGCCCAACAGTGTCAGTCTCTGTTGTGAGTCTGATTCTGTGATTTAGGCTTTGTCATCTCCCCATTCAGAGGAAAAAACATGGATACTTTTTCCATGCCTGCCCTTGCTGCCATAATGCCTCATTTTTATAAGGAGCTTAAAAATATATGGCAATCAGAGATTGTTTACAGAAAAATATTTTATATGTTGTAATAGTATCTTCAACCCAAGGTGTTGCTTGGCAACTTATGACAGTGTTTAGTCCTAAAACACTGATTGGTTTTCCTCTTGAGATTTCTAAATTTGGGAGATTTTTAAAAAGACTTTCAGTTCCTTTTCTCTGTGATAGTAAAGTAGTTCCTATTTGAACACTATTCTCTCCTGCGTGTTTGAGGAAGTTTCTGAGGGCTCCTGAATGAGCTATTCTTGGTGACATAGATGGTGAAGAGCCACTGTAAAATCAAAGTTCAGTCAGGAAATAGAAATCCCAATAGACACTCTCACAGGACTCTTTATTACAATTCTTTCCTGTTATAGGAAATTGCACCTTAATGCTGTTAGAATTCTGGAGGAGAACAAGTCAGCGCAGACCCATACCTTTGAGAGATCAGAAGCCACTGCTGATGTCACAGCCCCTCTAGAGTCCCAAGGAAAGGAATGCTCCCAGAACACAAGGTGATTGGCCAAGACCCCTGTCTGGGAAGCCTTAGTGCCCACCATATGAGATGACTTAGGCCTACCTGCCACCTCCCAAATCTCATAATACTGTGGCAGAATGTTGGCCCCATTTAGAAGCCTGGGGAAAGGAGAATCTAAGAAATATAATATTCTTAAATCTATTTCCAAAAATACAGACAAGACCATAGAAATGAATGAAATTTTTTTAAAAGACTAAATGCAAATACTATACCTATGTTATTTTGATCTAGATCTATATATATACCATAGCTCGCTTTGGTTCCCCCCACAGCACCACATTTAGAACCTGAGAAAATAACATTTGGATTAAAGGTTAGGCCTTGGAAATGAGAGCTTTCACACTGGACCTTGGTGAAGCCTGAGACCTCATTACTTCAAGTCTGTGCGGTTGGAATTCTGAGAATCCCCAGTCCCTTCTTCCAGACTCCCTTCCCTGCCATTTTTTCTTCCCTCTAGCAATAAGAATCGTATTGATATTTTTCCCGCTGGAGGGGTTTTGATCTAGGCACTTCTTTCCCAAATCCCCAGATAAGAAACTTTCTTTGTTCTGTATCATTTCTCCTACCAATCCTGAGAGGAGGCAGAGAAGCTAGTCTACTGAAATAAGTCTCTATCAGATTGAAAACTGCCAACTGTTGATGTCAACAAATGTGCTAGAGTGGTGGGTTAATGGGCCTCCTAACATGCCTGTGTGTGAACAAAGGGCTCCATGGTGTTTGGGCTCACTTTCAACCTGGGAGGATGACAGTTTGAGAGTTTGATTCATTCTCTCTTCACCTGTACCAGAAAGCTAGTACTCTAAAGGCCTGTATAGCCCTGGCAGTGTGGCTCCGTGGATTGAGTGCCAGGCTGTGAACCAAAGGGTCACCAGTTTGATTCCTAGTCAGGGCACATGCCTGGGTTGCAAGTCCCCAGTTGGGGAAACACCAGAGGCAACCACACAGTGATGTTTCTCTCCCTCTCCTCCATTCCCTCTCCTCTCTCTAAAAATACATAAATAAAATCTTTTTTAAAAAAAGATGGAACAATCTGTTTTCTTTGTTTAATCCGTTTTCTTTGCACAGAGATTAAAATCATCCTTCTTTGTTTGGGTAGTTTTTTATATATACATATATACATATATTTGCATATTTATATATATACAAACACAAACACTCATTGTTATGTTTGCTGTGCTGTGTGTGAGTATTTGGAAACTGAATCTACATCTCAGCACATCTCTCTACCAGCCAAGCACAGATTCTATTGCTATAACTTGAGCAGCTATAATCATGTTCTATAATACCCAATTTTATTGCTTGTTCTAAGAAGCACAGTTTAACTTAATAACTGAGAGACTGTGAAGGAAAAGATTAATTTGGAAAATCATCCAAGGAGTCTAAGAGTTGTTGCCTTCAATAGTTAGCCCCTATTGCCTAACATGGGCATGTTAGGAGGCCCATGGCCAATTAACAGTTTGAGTCACTCAGCACATCCTCCCATTCTTTAAACATTCTGGCAACTTCAGAGCTACTTTCAACTTCCTTAATTATCTATGCCACTCGGAAGGCAGCACAAATCCTCAGAATAGAGGGCAGGCATTCCAATGCAAAGTTTTTTCATCTTTTGCAAATGTGCCTGCCCTCGCCTGTGACTGATTCTTCCTTTCAGCTCTTCTCCTGGGATTAGGGAATGATTTTAGTCACTATCCATGTGAAGATATAGTCCAGAAACCGCATCCTTAAATATGATGCTCTATCACATGAGCTGTGAAGTGTGGGTTCTCATCTGGGTCTGAATGATTTAATAGAATATAGATGTATTTCATGAATACCCCATTTGTGTATATTAGTTGGAGAAAGAGAATTGGAAAAGTCTATTTCCAATGAATCAAATTATATAATTTTTGCTTACTTATCAACTTTTATTAAATGCTATTTGATCATACTCTATATTTAAGGTACTGTTTTTGTTGTTGTTGTATTTTAGAACATCTGAAGTATATGGAAATAACTAGTAGGTTGGATAAGCACTAATGAAATTTTTGATTGAGCTGAAATTCATGTGTCTGCTCTAGCCCCTTTCAATGAGAATTGGAGGAATTATTCCCCTGTCATTGTCCAGGAATTGTAGCATACCACAGGAAAGTTGCTCAATTTTAATTAACAGGCCATCCTTTAATTCCTTTAAATTGCACAAACATATCTTAATCTGGCTATTAGATTACTTAGCACAATGTAACAATTAAAAGTGCCAGTTTAATTTAGGATAAACACATTTATTCCCCCTGCTGGGGAGTTTTGCAGGCAGGAATGAGTTTAGTGTTACTTCTTCCTCATGTTCTGGGCCTGGCTGATGTTCAAAGCAGAGCTTTCCTTTCTTGTGAGCTTCTGTAGGCTCTTAAGACTCCCTCATGGCCTAAATCTGGTGCATAGGAAACACTCAAACATCCTTTGTGCCCCAAAACTCTAGGTGTACATATATACAATGGATACTACTCAGCCACAAGAAAAGATGGAATGTTGCCATTTGTGACAACATAGATGGACCTTGAGAATGTTATGCTAAATGAAATAAATCAGAAAAAGCTAAGAACCATGTGACTTCACTCGTATGTAACATATAAAACTGAAATTCATGGACATAGACAGCAGGGTGGTGGTTACCAGAAGGAAGGGGGTGGGGGTGGGGGTGGAAGATGGAGGAGGCCTAATATATGGGGATGGAAGATGGTCTGAATTTGGGTGATGGGCACACAGTAGAAATGTGCACTTGAAACCTATATGATGCTATTAACCAATGCCATCCCAACAAATTCAGTAAAAAATTGAAAAACATAAGTGAAAACGTCTCTGTGTATGTAGACCACTCCCCGCACAGCCACACTTCCCAGGATCTGCCATCAACTCCTCCACCCACCCTGACCTCTAGGTCTGCTGATGAGCATCAGGAACAAATTGCATTGTCATCAGGCACCTGACTTTATGGAAGGTAAAGAAAACTCTTAGGTCCCCTAGAAAATAATTTCAC